GTTTATTACAATATGATTATTTAAAGCCAGTACGTCTTTTCTGGTTACTCCATACACGAATAAAAAAAAGAAAAGATTATTATATATTTGGTAATACTATCTAAAACCGGAATTTTTTTTAATTCCATAATTCCATACCGGTTGAAAAAATAAATTTCCGGAATTTTTATATTTAACCGGAATTTTTCCGAAATTTTTCCAAGGTTTTTTTCCGCGCTGATCATAACAATAGTAACTTGAAAAAATTCGATCACTTGTGGGGAATTGACGATTTAGGGAAAGGTTTAATTGAGATTTGTTCATAAAAGGAAATTTAAGATCTGTATGTCTATTGAGGTGCATCTTCCTTTTCACATCCTCGTGTTACAATGTTTTAATAAAAGGGGTGGTAATTGATTAGGAAATTCAAGTTTTGTTCAAAATAACAACTTTTAGTTAAAAATGGACGAGTACTATCCAGGTTACGAAGGTGATTTTCTTATGTTTTCCAGCAGTTCATTTTAATATTTTCTTGGCTTAACCATTTTATTTTAGCTCTATCGTCTTACCTTAAAAAATTCGACAATCCATCATATCGAAATTTTTTGGATCTCAACCGGGAGGAAGTAATAAAATCACCCCCTTTCACCGAAAACTGGGGTGGCTTAGAAAGTGCTTGGTCAAATCGTTTTATAAGAGCCGTGCAAACTCATATTCCGGATAGATTTGAAGATATAAAATTAAAGGTCTGTTTGTTTTTTATTGTCTTTAATTTTCTTAACTGCGCTCCTGAAAAGGTCAACGTGCCATTCAAGGAGTATCTAGTCAACGCGCTGGGCAGTAATGGGTTGATAGCGCTCCTGAAAAGGTCAACGTGCCATTCAAGGAGTATCTAGTCAACGTGCTGGGCTTTCCCATTGTTTCGCCTATAACGTTGTTTATTATTCGCACTTCTATAATTACTTACGTCTCTATATCTGCGAAAGGTTGAAGCCGAATGTCGAAACCGTGGATTAAAATTATATTGGGACGAAATTTTACGTGAAAGAGAGAAGGTGAATTAAGCCTTATTTATCACTTCCTTAATTTCTTACTAAACTTCATTCATTATGTAAAAAAAAAGAACAATGTTAGGGAAATACACATTACTGGCAGTCTCAAACTCCTAGGTGCGTCTGGAAGGAGAAATATACAAGAGTTATTAACTGATGGGACTATATTGCCAAAACAAGACATGGATGATCTCCCAAAGGTAAATATTGTTGTTGACTTAAGTTAAAATCGTGCATATTTCTATATACATGTTTTTTGTATTTATCAGCCAGAATTGTTGCATCGGGATGTACCTCAGGTTGAAGAGGGCGTCAATGACGTTGAAGATGAAAATCAAGGTATAAGGTTTATAAAGTAATTCAAGCTACAATTAATGAATATCAGCTAATAAAACTTGATGAATTCTCTGCAGTAGATACTAGTGAGGAGTCTGAAGAGGACCGTCCAAAAATCAACAAGACGGCTTTTCATGAGGCACACAAGTCCATTCCTGATTCTTCAAAAATGCGATTAAGCACAGGAAAAATAGTAGAAGATGTCCTCTTCGATTTTTGTAGAAATATGGACTATGAACAGTAAGTTTTTGAACCAACCTTTTTTCTTGCATCTTGAAACTTAATTTCTTGATACTGAGATTCTATCAGTCATGCTCACTCATACATTATAGATTGTGATGACGCGGAAATTAAATCATTATATACTGAAACGGAATGGAAGGAGCTAATAAAAGATCGGCTGGGACTTCCTATTAATCCTGCTCATATTGCAAAGGAATTGTCGAAATATGCCAAGAAGACTTTAAGAGAATTGCGCCAAATCGTGATGACACCGTATCTTCAAGATGATATTGAATATGATGCTCAACAACATTATGATATGGAATGGATTCAAACGTCATTAAGAACACTTACAAATTTATATGAAAATACAGACCATCCTTTAGCACGGAGTCATTACGAAGATTGGTTCACGGTTGCTCTTTTCGGAAGTTGCATAGATTTTTGTATGAGATATGCGGTTAGGAACTGACATAAAGAGGTCCTTACCATTCTTTCACTGATGCAAATCACTATCACTTTCACTAACACCGTTTTTTATCATATTTATAGGACTGATGCACCATCGTTGGCTTCTGCCAACAGGAAAAATCGTGCCAAGTTAACTAACGAACGGAAATTCACTGGCAGAAAAATAGATGGAATAATATATATTATTGACAGGCTCCTTGAGGTAGGAGCAATTGAGGCAGCAAGATGTTTTATGGGGTTTCAGATAGGAAGTACCTTCTCGAAGAATTTAAAATGCCGAAAACTCTTCGCGATATGTTGGCCGACATGATCAGGGATGTGAACTATGAAGAAAAAAAAGTAAATGAACTTCAAGTATTCGGAATCTTGCACCTCGGATTAAGAGTTCAAGCTACGAGGTTGTGGCGTGCAGGCGGGTCGATTACTGTTTTTTATAAAGACCCTCAAGTATATTATATAAATAATAAGTTTTCAGTAGAAGGTGTTAAAAATTTCCTCAAGTTCCTAGCTATGATAAATCGACATAAGGTGAAATTTATTAAAGAACTCTCGCATATTTCTCTTTTGGCTTTCCTAATCATTTAAACTACTTATACAGATCATTATGATGAATAATTTAAACATCATAAGAGGTATTCAGGAAAACAATGCAAATCCTGAGTCGGAAGAAACCAGCTTTTTAGATGAGTTGACCGGAGTTGTCCATTTATCCCAACCGCCTACGCCTCCATCTTTGATTCAATTTTTTGCTGATAATGAAAAGACCCCCAAAAAAGCCAAGTCAGAAAAAAGTAGTTTAGTAAAAAAGAGAAGATTAATTAAATAGAAATTAAATTTTTATTATTTTTAATAATTTTCAAAAATATTTCAAAATAAAAATTTACAATACAGTATATCACGGACAATTACAAAATTTACAAATTGCTAAACATTGTTTGAATGTTTAACTATTCATTAACGTTAATGATCATCGAAAAGACAAAAAAATAAAATAAAATATATTATTAATTTTAGTTAAAATCATTCTAAATTTATTATAGAATTAATCTATTAGAAAAATTAGTAGAAATTTTTAATTTTGGTTTGAGGATAATTATCTTTCATGTTTATCATTTAAAGAACGAAGTATGTCTCGGTGTCAGGGAGGGTCGATAAATTTTATTAACTACAATTCATCCGTTAAAAAATTTGAAATTTCATAATATGCAACATCAAATTTTTAATACACATGATAATTTATCAATTGTTTTTTTTTTTGTTTTATCCTGGGCTATCTATTGTTATATTTTATTGAATATCGATATTAAAAACTTATATATTTTTTTTATCATATAAGAAGAATCAACAATTTTTTGAAACCTTAAAATGAAAATTTAGAATTTGAATTTGGATGATAACAGTCAAATTAAAAAAGAAAACGAAATTCTCAAGGTTGAAGTTTCACGCATTAATGATAGTTTAGAAAAATATAAACTTATAGCAGATAATCAGTTGAAAGATTTTAAAAATAAATTGAAAGAAAAAGACGAAAAATATCAATTCTTAAGAATGTGAAAGAAACTGAGAGTAACTTGCTTAAATTTGTTTGTTTATAATATTTATAGTTATAAGTTTTTCTTTAATTATAGATATAAGTAATTATTAAATAAATAAATTTCATTTGGAAATTTTAAAAATAATTACAGATATAAAATAACTACAGCGAATTTAACTATCAGCTATTCTAAATTGAATTATATTAATCGTAGAAATCGTTTTCTATATCTGATAAATATCCCTAGTACTCATTATAATCCGCATCACTATAAATTTCAATATCTTGTAATTTAAAATTTAAATAGATTCTTATTTAAAAAACAAATCAAGTAAATATAACTTACCTTGTAAAATCAAAATTTTCTACTGAAAGATTTGAAAGATCTTTTGTATATGGATTAAGTAATCGAGAAGTATAACAAGCTTGTGGATGAGTAATTAATTGATTACTTTTAATGGATGAAGGATTTGCTTTTCTATATTCTTCCGCTTCTTCAAATTGTTTTTTAAATTCCTCATTTTTATCTGAACAAAATAATTTAATTAATTCTTCTATTTCAATCGCATTTGGTCTCTTATCTGGATTTGAATCCCAACATCTTTTCATTAGGTCAATATAACATTTTGGTGCTTCTAGTTCATTTATTTCAGGTCTATTTCCATTACATATCTTTAATGCTAAAATATTATCATGAGCGTCATTGGCAAAAGGTTGCCTTGTAGTTGCTGTAAAATACATAATCATGCCAAAACTATATATATCTGATTCTTGAGTATAGGGTTTTCCTTTTAATACTTCAGGAGCTACAAAAGGCATAACTCCATAAATTTTCGTTTCATCTATATTATTGACTTCTTCACATAATCCCATATCTGAAATATATATTTCAATATTGTAATTTGAATAAACATAAGAGTAACCAATATTATTAAATGATGATAATATATTTCCTGTGTGAAGATCACGATGAACCATCTTATTTTTATGAATTTTTATAAGGCCTTTAATAATGTCACTTAATGCTTTTAATCTATGACTCCAAATCCAATTTGAAACATGATTGCTAATATAATTATTAAAATTTCCACCTTGTGCATACTTAAAAACCATAATATAATTCTTTGTATCTGGATTTTGAGATATTCCATATATAGGAAGAATACTATCATAACTAATAAAGTATTTTTTAACCTAATAAAATATAAAAAGTTATTATATTAAAAAATCTTTAATAAATTTAAAGAAAATTCATACCTCATTTAAAAATTCATTAGTAATGTTTTGTGAACTATTTAAACATTTTAAAGCGACTTCTTCTATAGGTTTCCTTTCATATTCCATTTTATCACCATTATATCTTAATGGACCATCCATCCATATTGCTGAATATACAGTAGCAAATCCACCTTTTCCTACATTTCTAATATAATTAAACTTGTTATATGGTATCCATTCAACTAATGTGTCATAATGCCCATTAATTTTTAATTGCATTTCTTGAATAAAACTATCAATTTTTTCATTTCCACTAGTCCAATTTGCGAAGTTTTCTTTTAAATTATTTACTTGACATAACTTGCACCATTTCCACCATGGACTCCTACTTGTATATATAACTCCACAAATTTTACAATAACTATCTTGGTATGACACTATGATATAATCTTTTGTATCTGGATTTTGGGATATTCCATATATCCCATTATTAAAATTATCATCACTATAAGAATATGATTTAATCTGATAAAACATATATAAAATGTTATTGTAAATACTTGAATTGAATTATACAAAAATTAAAAAATTTATACCTCATTTAAAAGTTCATCGGTGATATTATGTAAATTATATAAATACTTTAAAGTCACTTCTTTATTAGGCTCTCTTTCCCATTTCTTTTCATAATCACCACATATTAACGGACCATCCATCCATATTGCTGAATATAATGTAGTGAAATCTATTTCTTTGACGTTAATATTATTAAACTGATTATAAGGTATCCATTCAAATAAATATTGACGTGTAATAATACCATATGTATGTTGACACGCAATATGATACAAATAGTCATGGTTCAATTGTATTTCTTGAATAAAATTATCAATTTTTTCATTTCCACTAGTCCAATTTGTGAAGTTTTCTTTTAAATTATTTATTTGGCATAATTTACACCATTTATTATATATACTTGTATACATTTTACCGCAGTATTCACAATAACCATCTTCAAGTACTATAATATAGTTTTTTGTATCTGGATTTTGGGTTATCCCATATATATCTAATTCAAAACCAGAATCATCTTTGATAGTATTAATATGCAATTTAGCCTGTTAAACACATTTATTTATATGGAGTTATTATAATAAAGAAATTAATTTACAAAACAAATGATTGGATTACAAAAATCAAAAATTCATACCTCATTTAAAAGTTCATGAGTAATATCTTGTGAATTATATAAACATTTTAAAGTAACTTTTTTATTAGGTATTCTATATTTCTCATCATTAAAGTTATATTTTAATGGGCCATCCACCCATATTGCTGAATATAGTGTGATGGAATCATCTTTGCCTATTTGTTTGATATCATTAAACTGGTTATAAGGTACATATTCAAATAATCTACTGTAAAGACTTTTATTAAATTTTTCTAATTGCATTTCTTGAATAAAATTATCAACTTTTTCATTTCCACTAGTCCAGTTTGTAACATTATTTTTTAAATAACATGGTACACACGCTTTTATCAACGCACTTCCATATATTTTGCAACAATATTCACAATAAAGATCTTCAAGTACTATAATATAATCTTTTGTATCTGGATTCTGGGTTATCCCATATATTATTATATCACCAGTAGAGTTACTAATTGTATATAATTTAGCCTGTTAATAGAAACATATATACATGAAAAAAGTAATTATAATAAAAATTAAATTATAAAGAAATTATTGAATTTATAAAAAATCAAAAAAATTACAATTTCATACCTTATTCGAAAATTCATTGATATTATTTCGTGAATTATATAAACACTTCAAAACAACTTTTTCATTGGGCTTTTTTATCAATTCCTCATTATGAGTATTATATACTAATGAACCATTCATCCATATTGCTGAATATATTGTAGCAGAATCATCTTTGCTTATTTCTTTGATATTATTAAACTGGTTATATGGTATCCATTTAACCACCATATCATCATGGAGAGTAATTTTTAATTGCATTTCTTGAATTAATTCATCAATTTTTTCATTTCCACTAGTCCAATTTGCAAAATTTTCTTTTAAATTATTTATTTCACACGGTTGGCACCACCTACGATATCTATATGTATAAAAATTATCACAGTATTTACATATAAAATCATCTTCCGATGACATGATTTCGAAATATTTTTTTTTTTTTAAAAAAAAAAAATTTAAAGACGTGATCAGCAGAGGGGATGTACCATTATTTATTTCATTTGAAATTTACGCCCAATATTTAAGTTCAGCCATTAAATGATTAACTGTAAAACTAAATTATAACTGGCGCTGAACAATTTAATTTGTAAGTGGTTGATAATATGCATAGTCGACTGAAGGTTATAGACGAGATAAATATTATACAATCAAATCATTATCATCATTAATTTATATGGAAAGATTTCAGTAATTCGGAGCTTTTAAATATTCTTTCACAAATAATTTCTCGGCAGCTGTACTACTGTTTTTATTATTAGGGGTCAGACATTTCGGTATATATGAAAATAAATCGATCCCGTGACTTCTCTGCCCTCCACGTGATCGTCGCCCAATGAAATCGCAAATTTTAATTTTTTGCTCTGGACTAGTATGTTAAATTGAATAAATAATTAATGTATTATACTTGACAATACTTGAATAAAAAGGACTAATTGTTTTAATGTACTAGAGATAAAAGTATTATATAATGTGTTAAATTAGCAAAAAATAAATACATAAACGTCTTTATATGTCTATAATTTAAAGAACTAGAAGTAGGAAGGCAACAAATTTCAGAGGCATATAACAATTGACATTTGTGTATTAGGAACGAAAAGTAGAATGATACATATTAAAAGTGTAATAATGATAAATTGTTGTGGACAATACAATGTATGTATTATATATTTTTTCATGAAGTACAATTCCAAATGATAATAAGGATAATACTGAACGAAAATAATACAATCTTTTTTATAAGACCAGTAATAAGTTTAATGACTTTTTTACATGCAAATAATTAATCATTATGAAAGAAGATTGTGATCAATGTTATAAAAACGGTAGAACTATTAGTAAATGGGAATATAACAAACATCTTTCGTTAAAATGCCCCATAGGTGGATGCGTGAGTAATTTATGGCATAAACATAAATTGTGTTTTGAATGTGGAAAGAAATTAGCTAACACTAGCATACTTAATAAAATTGAAGTAATCGAAATCCGAAAAATCTGAAAGTGGTCAAAATGCCGAAATTAATATAGTGAACAAAAGAATTTTCGATAAAAATTCTAAATTTTTTTGTACCAAAATACAGTATCTATCAATCAAATATTCTAAATACGAAAACCAGTGAAAACCCCGGCTGATTTATTATCCCAACAAGTAAATCATTGCAATAGAATTCGATCAAACTCGATTGGAATAAGTCGAACACGCATACATTTCTGTATTTTATGGTTTATAATTATTCATTCACAAAGAAACTTAAAATAACGAATAGGTTATATCAAAACTTCGGTTTGTGGAAGATTGATGCGTTAAGAGCAACTTTTTCTAGATTAGATAACTGTTCATTTATTACAATAAAATTAAAAATAACTTTACAAAAAGAATTTTTTTATTTAATTGAACTCAAATCATAAGAATCACTTTTAAAATTTAGTTGTACCGATTCTGAGCGCAAAATACACATAAATGATATAAAATTATGCTTATAACAAAAAAAATATTGAATCTACCGATGTGTATACATTGAATTGTTAGTATGTTTCATATGATTTCGAAATAAAAGAAATTTGCTTCAAATCCTCATAAGCTCTAAGCAGGTTACTCTCAGTTTCTTTCACAAAAGATGTAATTTTCTTATTCTCATTAATAAGAATTGATATTTTTTCTTCTTTTTCTTTCAATTTATTTTTAAAATCTTTCATTTCTTTCAACTGATTATCCGCTATATGTTTATATTTTTCTAAACTATCATTAATGCGAGAAATTTCATCCTTGAGAATTTCATTTTCTTTTTTAATTTGACTGTTATCATCCAAATTCAATCGAAATTGTAAATTTTCATTTTTGAGAGCAAGATTTCGTTCCGATGCTTCTTTGAATTGATAGGTCCTTAAATCATAAGTTTTCTTAAGAGTTGAATAATTTTCAAAACAACGAGAAAGATTTTTCTCTAGAATACTTTTTTCTTTTGTTAAGTTATTAACTCTAAAGATAATTCAAATTAGTTAATTAAACATTCTAATTACAATTTTCTAATATCCTTACTTTAATTCTTCGTTAGCTAGCAGTCTAGACATTTCGCAACTGTAATTTATTATAATTAATAATTTAACAAAAAAGATAAATTTATAATTTACTATCGTACAAGTGTACCACTTACAAATTATCTTTAGTCATCTTCAACTCATTTTCAAGACGTTAATAAGCCGCTGCATAACTAAATAGATTTTATTAATTTAAAAAAAAAATTTAGTTTGAAACTTTTTAAAAATAATTACAGATCATTAAAATCATCCATTGTCCAAATAAAAAGAACGTTTGTTCAAAAGGAAAAAAAAGCAAAAATGAACAATTTATAAAAATTATGAATAAATAAATAAAACAGGTTTAAGTTCCCGATAGCATTAATAATTACCTGTTTCTCGCGTGTAGTGTATTGCCAATTTCATAATAACTCGCGCAATTTTATTTTAAATAAAAAATACATACAATAATTCAATAAACAAAGCATTCAATTATAAAAACGAACAATATAATCATTTATTATCATTTATTATTATATAATTTTATTTATTTATAATTAGGGTATATTAACAAGATTTTAACACAGAAATAATTATAGAATACGAGGAGATAATTTATCCCTATCGGCTTTTTATTTATTCACTAAAATTTATTTTTCTATCTGTTCTTACTTATAATGATCTTTGACTGCAATGCATGTATGCATCACTTTAAATGGTATCTCAATCCAGTCTATCTTTGACCAACACTAAACACGTACAGTAACTCATCAAAAAAATAAAATGAAATTATGAATTTGAAACATTAATTATTTCCGCGGCTTCCTAGTCTCAACTAATTTACCATTAAAATTAAAAATGTGATGTCCACGTTTCACGTTACTAAAGTTTCGTTTACGGCATCTATAATAACCACATACTGGACAATATCCGTCAAGGCTTCGACGAAGCGGTCTACATTTGCAATACGAACTATTACAATGCATACAGCCATACACCAAGTTTGGATCTAATTTATAAATCAATAAAACAATTGTTAAACAAGTAAAACAATATATAACCAGATAACAGATAAATGTGATATAAAAACAATTATTTACTTCAAGGTAGTCAAACTGGATTTGTTGACTCTCAATATCTTGTCGTGTTTTAAGTTCTATTAGCTTCTTATCTACATGAACTTCTCAAGAGTCAGTGAAAGTGCCAGGTGTTGAACCGTAATTGTCCGGAATATAATGTTGTATAGAGATAAATCACGTAACGGGGTTGTGAAAGCTGAATAGGAACCGGAGGAAACCACCCAGTCAACTTACCTGCAAAGAAATTTTTCGCTTGTATTTTTCTCTCGATTTCTTTTCTTTTCTTCTCTAAATTATCCTTTTCTTTTTTCTCGTTTTGGTGTTTCTTTGCTCTTTTAAACCCTCTTACATCATCACTACAAAGCTTGATAAAAGAGCGCGTTTTTCTTCTTTTTTTCTTTTTCTCCACTTTTCTAACGAGAGACATTTTATTTTTTTTTATGATGTCTAAATCATTCCTTTATGAGATTTGGTTTATGAGCTTCACGAGATACATTTCCTAGTTCTGCATTCTGGCCAATCAAATTGGTTTTGATCATCAATGATTCAGTAGGAATCATGTCAAAAACATTATTACAAGTAATCCTGAGAAAAGATCAGCCGAAGCTAAAACTAAGACTTTACTTTTTATTAAAATAAAGAATCCGTAAAAGTGATATTATTTGTGAATCCAAGAGGAAATTTGGATGCCACATATACTACATACAAAATCAAATTAGCTTTTAATAACGATACCCGCGCTATAGCAGCGCGGAGCTCAAAGTCCTTTCGGATTTTAACCAAGCTTAAAATAAAATTGTAATAATAAAAGTCATCTTTTACACATTATGGTGTTATTATTTTGAATTATTTATGAAAACCTTTACTTCGCACATATTTTATATAAAAAAATTATACTTCCATTCGATTTCTAAATACAGTATAATAAATCAACTTTTATAATAATAAAACCCGCATATAGCTGACAAGCATAAATAAACAACACATACACATGAAGAAAAAAAACGAGGAACGGTACGAGGTTGAAATGATGTTTCTCTATTTGAAACTTTGTATAAATTATTATTGGTTATTTCTCGATACACTTTATAAATACTTTAAAGCTATCATTAAATTCAAATATATAAAATCAAAAATGACAATTAAGCACCCTCTTCAACAAATGCAATTATAATTTTAACGACGATAAACTATAATAATCACATTTTGGACAATAACCGTCAGGGATTCGACAACACGTTGGGTCTAATTTATAAATAAATAAAACAATCATTAAACTGTATATATCCAGATAAAACATAATGTCTAGTTTATTTACTTAGGGTAGTCGGACTGAATTTGCATATCTTGTCGTTTCTAAGTTCTTTTAGCGGTAATCCTACAAAAACTTCTCAAAAGTCAGTGAAAGTGCCCGGTGTTGAACCGTAGTTGTCCGGAATATAATGTTGTATAAAGAAAAATCACGTAACGGGATTGTGAAAGCTGAATAGGAACCGGAGGAAACCACCCAGTCAACCTACCTTCAAAAAAATTTTTCGCTTGTATTATTCTCTATAACCATCTTTTACTTCGTTTGGTGTAACACTCTCAAAAACGAGCGTTTTCTTTATTATTTACTTCGAACGTTTTCTAAGTTCCTTTCAGCGGCAATCCTACAAAAACTTCTCAAGAGTCAGTGAAAGTGCCCGGTGGTGAACCGTAGTTGTCCGGAATATAATGTTGTATAAAGATAAATCACGTAACGGGGTTGTGAAATCTGAATAGGAACCGGAGGAAACCACCCAGTCAACCTACCAGCAAAAAAATTCTTTGCTTGCATTTTCTCTATAACAATCTCTTATTTCGTTAGGTGTATCTTTGCAACAAAGAGCGTTTTCTTTATCCATACCTTTAAATACATGTGAATTAAAGGAAGTTGCTTGTGAATCCACGAGTATCATTTCCTATATCGTGTAGATTTGTTTAGTCTATTTTACGCAGCAATCTTTGATTGCTGCGCACATGGAAAAATATAAATTATATACGTAATGCTTTACCATGGAAAATTAATTATTCCTTTCTATTTTATTTTAACGAAAATGTTATTACTTGGTATTTGTAATTTTAACAATAAATATTGTGGTTGTCAAACTTATAAGGAAGATAAGAATAATCCAGAGAAATGCTATTATTGCAATCATTATAATGCGTTTCATACCGGTTTTTCGCCTCCGCCTCAAAATATTTCAACACCATTATTGGGAGCTTGTCAAAAAGATGGAGTTTCATGTGGATGTCAAGCTTTTTCTGCTAATCCTAATAACGAATTGAAATGCAAATATTGTTATCATTATACTGCATTTCACAAGAATACTGCTCCAAGTAGTGTTACTAGCTTGATTAATATTGAAAATAATTTGCCCTCATACTTGTTATCAACAAGTATTAATAATTCAGGAAATTCGAAATTTGGAGATGAAACTATTAGAATTATATCTACGCCCAGTATTAAAAAGAAGAAAAGAAATCAGTTAAAATTCAATTCACCAAATACTGTTGCTTCTAGAGGTCATCCTGCTAACGTTTCACTTGGACTTAATCACATATTATTGTTTACACAAGGAAGTTGGAAAAATAATTCAGCTCCAAGAGAAAATACTTCGACTTGGATTGAAATGAGGGATAATGGTTTCATTATAGAAAATGTATTATTTAATGAAAATACTGCTGTAGCTATTAATGCATTAATTACTCGTTCATTTCCATCTGTTAATGAATATAATTGGATTTTATTAAACGGTTCTGCAAGTAAATTGAAAGCTGCCACCCTTCAGGTAAAAAATATATAATTATTTACTAATTTAATATATTTCTTTAATTCGTATGATGTTTGTGTTTTTAGGAAAAATCTATAAAGAATTTCAGAAAAAATATGTCAAAAAGCAACAAAAGATTATACCTTGATAATACAATTATAATAAATATTATTTTTTTGAATAACTTATTTACTATTTTTTATCAATTTTAGCACTTACATCAGAAGCAGAAGCGGATAAAAATCAAGATGAATATATTGAAATTAAAAGCGAAAGCGCTGATTGATTCGAAAGTTCATAAATATAATTTTCAAGTTCTTAAAAATAGTAAGCATGGATTTATAGTTACGTTAATAAATATCGAAAGATAAGATGCGACTCACGTGAAATTCAAACGGGTCATATCTCGACATTCAACTATAACTTTTTAATGATGACAACTTTATTTAAAATATATATAAATAATATCTTTATTAGTTTGAAATGTTTCAAAGTATTTTCAATAATGTATTATTGATTATCGGTGAGGTTATTTATTCTTAGTCACATATAATTTAATAAAAAAAGATTAAATCACACCGTTGTTCTTTCATAACCATTTTTTTTCTATTGTTCAAGTCTCGAATAATGTAATATTATGACATATTATAATAGTTGTTAGATCTTGTTAGATGTGAAATACTAACATAGTTTTAAATGCTCTAGAAAATAAATTTCAAAAAATCGTAATAACAAAATATTACTTTTTAATTTATCAACGCTATAACTGAAGATTTATCCAAATTCGTCAAAAAAATTACCATAATGTCGTGGATCTCGTTACTATCTCGTCAATATGTTGTACAACTTGTTTTAAATACTAATTAATGATAAAGTCGGAGAAATCAATTAATCATATAGATTTCTACTTGATGCTAGGCTTGCTAGCAATTCTAATTGATGTTATATAACATACTTTAAATTGATCTGAAAATCGAAGATTTACAGCAGTATTCTTTTCAAATTTATAATTACCGAAGCGGAAGTAGAGTTCCAATCCAAGGATCGACGGATGGACACATTTTGACGATTATACATAAATTTAATTAATTTAAGTCAAGATTTTTTTGAGATATCTTCGGATTCTACTCCAATGCGCAATATAATAAAATTAAAATCTGGTTCAATTATAAAATGGAGAAGAAATTCAACTCGGATCGAAAATCCATCCGATCGGATGAAAATTCAATCCGAATCGAATTTTTCTTTTTTTTTTATTATTAACAACACTCTTAAATTTACTATATTGTGTATTGAGATATGGTCTTAGTGTATGCGAAAAAAAATCCTTACCTTTATTGATTAAATCCATATGCAAATTGCCAAAATATTCCCATCCGTCGATCCTCGGATTGGAACTCTAACACTGTAAAAAAAATGTCCAGAAATTGTAGCTAAAAACATCCGAAAAATGTCCGTGTGTCCAGAAAACGTCCAGAAAATTGCAATATTCCGGACACTTTCTGGACGCTGGGTCTGAACCCTCCTAGACATTTTCTGGACATTTTCCGGAAAATGGAAATTTTCCAACGTCCGGAATATTGCAATATTCTGGACATATTTCAGACAAATAAACATTTTCCAGATGTTTTCAGCTACAATTTCTGGACATTCTTTTTTTATAGGGTAAGCGGAAGAGTATTGTTAGCGTAATCTATTTTATTGCAAATATATTTAAAATGCTTAACTTTATAGAAATCCTGTTTCGTTTCGTGTTTTATCCGAAGATTGAAATTATGTTCTGTAATTTCTCTTTCCAAATTAGGTGAAATAAGTATTGGAGCGAGCTGGTTGTTTTTTTCAAGTTTTATTGATGCACACAAACTGCTTGTCGATCACAATCTCTAAATTATTTATAACTGCAAGTTGTAATGAAAAAATTTCGAACAATTTAAACTTGCATTTAAATTGACAGGTAATTTTATAATTTAATAAGATTAAAACCAAATTTTTGATTTTTATTAATTATTATCGTTATGTAACGTTAATCAAACAGTTAATATGAATAATAACTCAAGTCGTAAAGACATGATTGAAGGCCTTGCTAAAGCTTTTACAGCCGATATTATTAATGAAATTACAAAATTTCAAACTGAAAATGATAGTTTAATTCAGAATAATATTTTATTGAAATCTGAGAATTTAAACATAGATTCTGTCAATCAAATGTTGAAATCGGATTTGTTACTTGAGAAAAGAAATTGTATTTCACAAGTCAACGAACTTAAAGAATTAAAAGCTGAAAATAAATCCTTAGAAACTGAAACTATTTCTCTTCATTCAGAAGTCTGCAAACTTCAAAGTGAAATTGATGAGATAAAGAGCAAATGTTCAAATGAAGTTAAGTTATTATCTCAGAATCGAATTTTAACAAACGAAAAGAAAAACTTAACGGAAGAAATAAAAAAGTTGAACGAGCAACTGAAACAATACAAAGTTTGTAAAAAACAACCGAAAAGAAAAGCCTTTAATTCAAAAGAAAAAGAGTTGTTCAAATTGGAACTTGCAACTAAGAATCGATGTATCAAAGATCTTACTGAGCAAAATAATTTTTTGTTTTTTGCTAATTCCGCGCTGACTGATGAGAAGATTAAGTTTCAAAGTGAAAATAACAAGTTTAAACAAGATATCAACGAAAAGGATAATGAAAATAAAATATTAATCAGTAAGAACAGAGAACTTGAACAAATTATTATTTCTGAAAAAAATAAGTTTGAAGAACTTGAAAATTGGTTTGTATCTTATCAAAATCATGTTATTAAAAATCATATGACTACTACGATTCAAGAATATTCAAATTATTTTTGATAACTAATGTATGCTTTTCTATCTGAAAAAATCTTAAAATTATATGCTTCTCAAATTTCTATTAGCGTTAGTAAATGATTTTCTATTTTCTTATTCTTATTCTTACTTTTATGTTAACGTGTTTTATTAATAAAAATTCTTTGTTTATATATAATTGTGGTTTTTATCGAAATAATCAGGAATATTAAACATTTAAAACAAAATCTGATATGTACATTTTTTCGCTATCACTGTTCCCATTATCAGTTATGAAAAACTTATAATTCCGATATAATTGTTTTTGTTATATCGTTACTGTTAATTATTGATATTCTATTCACTAATGATGGTATGAAAATAATGAAAGCAAAAATAGAAAAAAATTCTAATGAATCTTTAAGTTTATACTAATTATGCAATATAACAGCTGATTTTACCAACATTCTTTCGCGTAATTTTGAATCTGAATAAATCATTTTCGTGCAAGAAATAAAGTATATCCCGTAATATTAAATTTCGATATCATATCGCTTATTGGCGCCAATAAAATTCAATTCATTCACGTGACATGAGAAACTTCTTTCTTTTACCACAAATTCGTAATGTTTATATATTTTAAAATAAAGAACAGTTAACCATTGATCGTTTAAAGTATTTGTTGTATTATGGATTATTTTGCCCTATTAAATGTTAGTTGTCGTAGTTATAATACTTATTATAAATTTATAATACACAATTATTATAAACTCACATTTGTATTGTATAATTATTACAGTATAAAAGAATACACGTAAAAATAATGATACATTAGCACAATATGTCTTAAATTTTTATAAATACTGTACCTAAAAATTATCATTATAGCGATGTAACTAACATGTCAAAAAAAATTAGCAATCATTTACGTGATGCTTACAGAGATAAATTAAGAGTCTCTATTATAATTTTTGTTTTTTTATCTTTAATATTTTTAATTGCCACGTTAATTGGTAGTATAAATGGAAGCGTATTTTTAAGTAAATTTACATTTAGTGAACCTGTAACTAAAATCCTTCGAAGAAACAGTATAACATTCACTTTGATGGGTTTTTGTATCGATGATTCTTGCACTCAACAAGTGTCACATAACTTTGATAAAGGTAAATTTATAATTATTTATAATTCATTCATTTGAAGTAATATGATGATAAAAGCATTTTTTATTTAGCACCGACTTCTGAAGAAATCCAATCTGAACAAGTACATAAACGTGGCATTAACATTAATCCAAATGAAATCGGTAATTCAATAGGCAATACAGCTCAGGATGTAGGCAATTCATTAAATAATGCTGCAAAAGATGCTGGCAATACAATACAAAATGTAGCCAACACAGCCATTGGAGGAATAGATAAACTTGGACAAGAAGCTATCAAAGCTTTACTATCAGCCTTTGATAGTTTTGTTCCTAAAGTACCTACTAATGGTAAATCCGGATGGATAGCTCATCCTATTATTACTGCATCAATTTTTAATTTGATTGCTTTAATTTTATTATTAATCATGAATTCAAAAAATAAAATTTATTGCTATTTAACAACTTTTGCATTTTTATTGATTTCTTTCATTTTTAATTTAGTATCATTCATTATTACATTTTCATTATTTTCTTTAGTATTTAATGTTATTGGTGCTTTTCCTGGCATTGGTGGTAACCATACTGGTCCGGCAATGATTTTATCTGGGTGTAGTTGTTTTTTCTTATTTATTTCATTAAGTCTTATAATATTTTATTTAAAGGCTTACTTTTATAATTTTTTATTGTGATCATAAGAAAAAGGAGTAGTTTAGTTCTTTAGTTTTTAGCTTAAAATTGTTTGATGCCACCATTTTTTGTTATGTGTATCAGCAGTAATTAAGTGATTCATATTATACAAGTAATAAATTTTATGTGTCACAAAGAATTTTTATTGGTTGAAATTAACGAGAAAATAAATCAGTATGATCGAAATTGTTAATAGCTAGAATGTCACCAAAGATAAATTGAAACTTATTATGATTTATGAAGCATAATGAAATATAAATTAAGAAACGAATACTTGAATAATGATGTAACAAAAATAACTTTCCAAATCCTTGATAAAAAGTAATAAAACTTTTGTAACAATTAACTCAAAATTTGGATTGAAGAAGCCGTTGATACAAGTGAAGATGAAATATCATTATCAACTGTCAGGATTTATTGATTTTAACATAGAAGCTAACATATTCATTATATGATTTAACAATAAAGATTGGGTAAAAAATTATTTTTATATAATAACAATATGCATTTTCTTTGATGTCTACCAAGAGAAGACACCCTCTTGTAAGAACTTCCGCACTCACAAACATGAGGTTTATCTTCACTATGAGTATATTTCAAATGTCGTTTCAAAGTATCAGGCTGTTAAACGTTAAAAAAAATATCAATAATTATACACCATAAATTAGCGAATAAACACTTTTTAATTTTATTAAACTTACATCGTAAAATTTCCAAGTGCATAAATTACACGCATAAGGTCTTTCAGCATTGTGAGTTCGGTTGTGTATTTCTAAATGATTTCTTTGAGCAAAATCTTTATCACAAACTGTACATTTATGAGGACGTATATGGGTTTTAAGATGTTGTTTAATTGCATGCTTATTTTTAAATAATTTGTGACAATGCTCGCATTCAATATTAAGAAGTGATTTGATATCCATAGTAAAATTTTGAGAAGTCAAACTATTCAACAAATCTATTATAAATAATTTCTTTATTTCTGATTTTTCTCACAGTTTTCAGCTGTAATCTGATAACTTGCTCACGACCAGTTTTTCCACGTGCAAACAGCAATAAAATGCTTAGTAATGTTATTTCAAAAGTTTCATTCATTGATGCTTTTCCTGGCATTGGTGTAATAATACGGGTCTGACAATAATATTATTCGATTATTGATGGACCGGTTTGAGTCAAGAAATCTGCGAAAGAGGTAAAAGGGTGAGGGATAGATGGTTGAGGGATTGTATGCTCAGGTTGAGGCGAGTGTTGAAGTGGGAAATGTGAAAGAAGAGAATATATTTGAAGGACTGATGCCGATCGTATCACAAAAATGTAATATTAAAGGCTATAGCTTTACTTTTATAATTTTTATTGTGATTATAAGAAAGGAAGCAGTTTGTTGGTGATTTATTGTTAAATTACGCTTAATTATACCACCTATTAAAATGTCATCTGTAATTCACGTGATTCTTATTTAAATATATTGTGACACAAAATGAAGAATTGTTATTGGTTAAAAAAAATCTGATTTCAATTGATTACCAGTTACGGTTTTATGGTATTATTTTATAATATATTTGATAGCAAATAATTATTCAAATTTTTATCATTATTTATGCTCGAAGTTGCATTATTATAATTGTAAAGGAAAATTTAATCACATAGCTGAGATGTCACCACACATAATAATAAACGAATACTGATTTATTTAACAATTTTTACTACTATACCATGTGATCGAAAATTAGCAAAAATAACTTTTCAGTCCTTCTCTCCCTTATCCTGTGTAATCAATTTTAACTGAGATAGAAGATACTCAATTCTTTGTTGATTTGTATTATTAAAATGAATCAAGTTTGCCACATCATACTTCAATTTCTTATTCATTGATTCATTTTCTCAAAATCTTAACTCCTTATCTTGCAGACTTTCTTCCAATAGCAAAACTCTACTTTTCAATGCTTTGTATTCTTGAAGGAAATTCTCGTTCACTATTTCTTTTCCCGAAGTCTTAATTCTTTATCTTGTAGACTTTTCAATAAAAAAACCTTATTTTTCAACATTTCATTTACTTCAATGATTCTTTCGGCCATTACTTCTTTTTCTTGAAGTCTTTTCTCCAATGATAAATCCTTACTTTTCAATTCTTCGTTTTCTTAAAAACTTGCTTTCAATTGATCGTTTAATTCTTCGTTTGTCGTGACAAATTTTTGAAGAATATTCTCAATGAAGTAATTGTAGGATTCTTGTTCTCCCAATTCACCGCTCAATGATTTTTCCAAGTAATAGACCTGGCACTTCAATTCTTCATTAATTGCTTTACTTTTGTTGATCTCGATTAAAGAATCATTGTGTTGGGTTTTTAGCATATGGATATATTGACATGCTACAAAGAATAAATACATTATTATTATGCAAAATTAATTAGATAATAAATACTAATGTTAAATTACCTTCTTGTAAAATTTTCTCCTTAGAAATTTTACTACCAATACATAAACCGGCAATTTCTTTAAGAGATTGAAATCCATTGTTAATCCCTTTTCTACGCCTTTTCTCGATTGCGACATAAGCGATTTTTTGCAATTCTATTTATAATAAATGTTAATTCATTAAAACTATAAAATAACAAAATTTGATACTAGTAAATACCTCGGTTTGATTTCTCCATTGCTCAAAAAATCAAAAATTTTATCGTCTGTATTTATATAGAATTCTCAATTTCACACGAAAAATGGTACTTTACAAATACGGCAAATGCTCATACTCAGGTAATACAATTTCATACAGCCGCAGCATAATTTATAAATATTTTTGGCTGTACAGTACTTTTTTTTCCATTCATTACGTCTCGCAGACACTTTTCTTTCAAATTATATACCAATCCTTGATTTGCTAAATAAACTTATTAACAAGGACATTGATAATTGCCTATTGATCATCAGAGTTAAAATTACAAGAACTCTCGATAGAATGGATATCTCACAAAAAGCCGGCTATAACCTGTTATATGAGAAAGAAAAAGCTTTATTTTTAAATTAAGATTAACGCCATTCAATCATTTGAAAAGCGCTCAAAAATTCAAGGAGGAAGGGATTTTTTTAATCAATTAAAATGGTTCGACAGTAATGTATACTATATGATATGCATATTTATAAGAGGTTCTTTTTATCGCTCCTGCGACATATCGAGGGCGCAAAAAAAAACATATAATATTCAAATAATAAAAAAATAAACAAGTAAATTCATATATATTATTTTAATATTTCAATTAAATTTATAATGTAAATGATAATTTTCAAGATATATAAAACTTTATGAATTCTCAAAATTTATTTATTTTATGATCAGAGATACCGAGGAATTTAGTCCTTAATTCCTATTTACAGTACATTAATAGAAAATGTCTTTTTTTTTTTTGAGCAAATTCGATTACACTTTATTGAATTCGAAATTACGAATTTGTGTAAAAGGAAAAAGGAAAAAGAAAAAAGAAAAATAAATGAGAAAGGAAAAAAAATAATTACTCAAAAAGGGCAAATAACAAAAAAAAAAAATACGGTTAAAATCAAAATATGAAATAATATATCTAAGCTGAAACCTAAACTAATTTATTAAAATTTCCGCTAAATAATTCTTACATAAATGGTTAATCCAAAATATTAACGTTAACGTTATGCTCTTTATTTTGAAATAAGCATGTCCTTAAATGATATTCCAAATTATTTCGTTGAGTATTAGAAAATGTCAAACACTCTTGTTCTTGTACTTCAACTTGTTTAAGTTCGATACCGAACAATTTTTTGTTCAAATATTTAACAATTAATGTATTTGAAATCAAATTGCATGTTATTTGAAAGTTTTTATCATCCAGACTATGGTAGAATGTATGATCAGAGCGTTGGTCAATATCGGTACTTTTTTCGCTTTTAATTTCTTTACAAGTGATATGGTAAATTTGATTATCATCTGGTGGGTTATGAAAGAATGACATTTTGAATTCTTCATTTGAATGGTTAGAAGAGCAAGTCAATTGATTCAACTCTTCGATACTAGTACAGCCTTTAGCGATAGTATAATCGTCTTTCTGATGTTGCATTTTAAGATTTTGAAGGAGATTTGCGGCTTTTTTTACTTGTTTATATACTTTTATAAAATAAAAGAAACACGCAATGACATATTACCGTAGTAGATTGATAAGGCACTGTTTAAATCTAATTGGGTTTATTTATATAAATTTTGTCTCAAAATTATGATCATCACGTGAAAATTGATAAAAAGCCAAATTTTTTATTGTGAAGTAAACCACGAAACTCTGTGAGTGTCATATCACGTGACAATAAAAATATGACTATATTTAAAGAACACATACATGTATTCCAGTTTCTAAATTCTTAATATTAATATTCAACATTTTTTTCATTTGTTGTATTTGATATTCTAATAAATGAATTGCATTATCAACATGTAAATTGTGAGCTTGCATCCTTTCATTAATCATATCTAATTGCGCTTGACACTGACAATTATTTTCAGAGTTCTTTATTAATAAAAATACACAAAATAAAAATATAATAATAAATCCAAATGCTAATAAATATATATATTTTTTATTTTCACGCATAGCTGCTTCATATCCGTATTGCCAATTTTCACCAATTGGAGTAGCAATTAGCTGAGAATCAGTCAATCAGACATATTGATTTGAACGGAAGTTGCGAATTATTTATGTTATTAAATCAAATTTTGATACAAAGACAAAAATTCGGTTGTATATATAATATATCAAGTTACACGATTTGCTCTTTAAATCATAATACGACAATACAAAATTGGTATACTTGTATAATACAACAGGGCGGACACCACGATATTGCTGATTATTTTGCCGATCATTTGTTCAATATTATCACATAAAGAACTACCGTTGAGTTGATTTTTTTTGCAAATTCTACATATTAATGTATTAAATTTTGATTTAATTTAATTTATTTTATTTATTATTAATAAATTAAATTTTAAAAATGCTCATAAAATTTTGCAAATATTAGTCTCATATTAATTTTGTAATATTTGTAAACATTCATTCAATGATAACTTTTGGGTTATCAAAAATTATTCTGGTTTATTCTAGCCATTTATTCTTGAATACCTAAATGATATACTGTGAAAGTTTCAAGTTTGGCCCGAAGTTCTGTGGCTTGGGCCGAAGCTTCAAAGTCAAATTAGCAGATGATTGGCATATATATGAATTATTGAAAATTTCAGCATAAAGCTAACTTTAGAACCACATTTTATTTTGCCATAATACTTATATATTTAATTATTGATAACACAAATTAACAAATAAAATAATTAAATATAATTTTTAAAACATTTGTGGCTTGAAATAAGGCTTCAAATTTAATGTGATATCACATATATTATGATCGGCAAATAATCGATATGTGATATAGGGTATGTCCGCCCTGTTGTATAATACAGTATTATTTTCAGACTAACTTTACATGGAAATGATCGATGCCGTTTGTATCACCAGAAATTAAATCAGATTATTATTTAAAGGACTACAATTCTACAAATCAATTATAAAAAACTTTTTTTCAGATATGAATTTTTTTGCAAAACTTGGCGTTTGTTTCTTAGCAATAATCTTACTTATCTTGTCATTTGCTGGACTAGCTTCTTTTTCACTAGAGGTTGCGAAGATCGCCCTTTTTAACCAAACAGATGGCAATTTAAAACTCCATCCTATGGATTATGTGTAAGTTGCAAAAAAGATATTATATGTATTTTATAATTTGAATGATTAATTTATTAAAATTGTCAAACTTGTAAAATAGATATCTAACTGCGCTCATCTTAGGCAGTAAGTTATTAATTTAAATGAAGTAACATTCTTTGTAAATTTAATAATTGTTTACTAATTTTTTTTGTAGTGAGCGGTTTTTACTGCTGCCATTCTAAAAGTGATGAAAATAAAAATAATTATCATTATGGAATAAGGTAATAAATATAATTACATTTATCATATTTTTTGTCTAAAAAGCGATAATTATATTTAATCTACATTTTTATTTAAGTGGAACTCTAGTTTCTTTAGTTATCATGAGTAAGTGTAATACCACAGTTATTTATACATATATTATACAGTATTTAATCTTTATTGATTTTTTTTTAGTTTTATATACTATATTTACAAAAGATGAAATGGGAGGTATTCCATTTTTTTGTCCTGTAGATTACCCATATACGTCACATTTAATTCGTACCGCATGTCAAGTGAGGGCCGCAAATCTGTTAATAATGTGGATATCTCCTGCTGTAGCGCTCTTTTTAGTTATTGCTGCACTCATAATTTCTTTTTGTTGTTGTGCTGGTAAAGATGATAATATTGTATAGTTATCATATAATGGATGTTATTTTATATTTTTCTTTCATTATTATCATTTCATAGTATGTACTGTATATCGATAAACTGTATATTTTTATATTTTGATACAATAATAAAGAATTGTGTTAGAATATAATTAAGAACAATAACAACTCGTTAAGTTACTATATTTGTTTATTCTGATACAATCAATTGTAAAATCAATTGATAATAAAATTGCTTTAGAATATTAATAAATAACAAAAACAACCCTATTAATTGTTCGGTTTCATATACAATATGTAACCACTGAAAATTGATTTTTTAATTAGTAACCATGTTTTTTTACATGCACAGGACCCCGGATATCTCCAAAACAGGTCATAAGTCACACTTTCGGGCAAACATGGCATAGCAGCCTTTATCTTTATTAATTATTTATCAAACTTTACAAAATTTACATAAAAGAAAAAGAAAAATAAAATAAAAACTAACTAAAAACAAAGCTATATAGTCTCCTAGAAAGAAATTAAAATTAAAAGAAAATTCAAAAGAAAAATCGCTAATACTAACACTTCCTAGATCTCCCCCCTTGATATATTCCAATCAAAGTAGAAGCAACTATGCTAACATAATAACGAATGACGCGCCCACTATTAAAATCGACACTCCATCCTGCAAAAGCGGTTATTAAGTAGCACCGTTAGACGACCCATAAAACCCAAAATGTGATTAAACCAAGATAATCCATATTGCATCGAGTTTTTTAACCAATCGGTTCCGGAGTCACGTGAATCAACATGGGTCGGAGGAGGTAAAGATGAGTAAGGTAAATAAGAAGATTTAGGCAAACCTTTAGGCCTTGGAGATTGTTTAAGTTTTGAAGTAATGTTCATCGCATGTTCCCATAATCCTTTATCATACGAACGCGGATTTCAAATTCGTTTACGGAATTTGTTAACAAAATTGTTATGTATGGCAGCAACCACATTCATGGCAGCGAGGCGGGGAATACCTAAAGTTTCAAAAACTTCCAGAAAGGCGGTAGGCAAATAGCCACAGACCAGACTATAGGATGACCAGTTACTAGATGAGAAAGACCAACAAGGAAGGGAAGTAATTCTATCCACTAAAGAAGAATAGTCACAATTGGCATTATCACCCGCTTCTTTGATTTTTTGGGTAAGGTAGTAAAGATAAGATGTTAAAAGTTGATGTAATTTAACACGACGCTTTTTGCATAAAAATAAATGCATAAAATCTTCTAAATGGTCTTCACAAGAGCGACAAGTTAGAAT